CCCCCTTGAAACCTTTTGCGCCTGTTAAGCACTGTCAAGAACCATATACCCCCCATAATATGGACGTGGTAGTAAGATTGGCCGAAGAATCGGATATTGACAACAAACTTTGAAATGTAGAGGATAAAAAGCCTGAATACGTGAAGAAGCCTGAGAATTGGAAGGTAAACATTTAAATGCTATACATTGCATAAAATAATACTAAAGCTCTAGCAGATTGATTAGGCTGCATTACACCGTATATTTTACGAATTTCACTGGAAAGGTGTGGACACATGAACGATATCCCACGGGAAAACTGAAAGTTGTACAAAATAATTTTAAGCGCAATTTTAAATACTAGCTACAAACCAGAATTTGAAGTTTTCTCCCCAGAATAGCATCTCCTTGACTGGCTTGGTGACAGTTCGACAGCAGAACATGTTGTCCAGATATAGCTCCACGAAATACCTGGGATAATAGTTTTTTTTTTTTTTTTTTTACTTTTTTTTAAATTTTTTTTCTTTTTTTTCTGTTATTTTTATCTGGGATAATAGTTGATGAAATACTTTCTCATTTAGAGAAAAATGATTTTTAAATAGTTCCAGATAAGGACGATTCAAACATGATGATGGTAAAGCCACTGAAACATCAGCCGTTCCTATTCATCATATGTTTCAGTAATACCTCCAGAGCATTCAATTTGTATCTTTTCCTCAAACGTATCCTTACACCCAAACCTAACCTTATAATTCTAACTCTATACCGCCAACCCCTAATTTTACCATAATAAATAATTCTACCTTCAACATCAAGCTGCAACCTACCGAAATCGGTACACTTGATGGTGAAGATGGCAAAATATTTGTATTTATTATATAATAAACTTGTCGGATAAAATATGTTGAGAAGATTCTCGACTTATTGCAAATTTTAATCCCAGCTCTGCCTGTTAGTCTGTATTCGCATAGTTTTGCTAAGCTAGTAATTTTGAATCTGATCGAATTATTAAACGTACCGGGTATAAGATTACCAAGATGAACATTTGCCAATAGAATATAATTCACTTATTTCCTTGCATAATGTAAATGTTATTCAATGTTCGACACAGTGATGCCGAGAAACCCACCATGATTATCATAGAATGGTGCAGACCCCTCCTGGATTCAATTTGTACCTTATTTTTATTAGAAAAGAGCGCAAATAGAAGTATATTTCATTACTTTTAAATATTTGTATCACATTAATGCACGTGGCACGCCCTGCACGAACTTCACATCAGAGAAAGATCATGCTACCTTGAAGTCGCAAATTCTTATCAAATCTCAACTAGCTGTAATAGAGGTATTCCCGTATCAGTTTGTTGTCCACTTTTTCTTCAGAAGTACAATGTTCCGTTTTATCATGTTCAATGTTTTTGTAGTTATTGCACTTCTTGGAACCACTACCGTGGAAGGTAATAGCAAGATTTACACAGCTCTACGGTTTGCTTATGATGGTTCGAGTCATATATTATGACGCAGTGAAACTATATCGCCTTCGATTTGGCACGATATCTGGTTAAACCGTAGTGTTTGTGATTGTACTGTACTGTCCACCCTTTGTAGTGTCCTGCATTGGTTAGAGCACTCTGCAAAACATAATAAACCATCTTCATCTCATTAAGAATACCAAATCAAATGTTCCTCAATATATCTTGTTACTTCGTTTAAAGTTGGCAAATTATTTCAATGTAACCTCTTTGTCAGGCAATGTCAGATCACACAAACGACCCTTCGCTGCACAGCAGTTTTATATGATCGTGTTATAAACTTGCCGGGAACAGATGAAGAAATCCATTATTCTCTCAGTTCTCATTTCTCTCTGCTGTTTCACTTTGTTCCTGGTCTGGAAGTCAGGATACAGTTACCAGAGTGAGATAAGAAATGAGGGTATGGAGACCAGTGAGGTGATCCTCCCTGCAAACTCTACCCAAGACGAGCTGTGCCCGTTAAGGAACTTTGTGTTTGTCAAGACACACAAAACGGGCAGCAGTACTATGAGTAACATTTTATTAAGGTACTCGGAAAATCACAAGCTGAATCAGCTTATCGGCAGGTCAGTTTTCCTTACGTCTCATTCTTTCTCAACTTGATATTTACTTCAATAAAATGTTTTACTTCTCCGAGGAAAATATGATATTTTAGAATTCTTAAAATTGAATGCTATATATATAATTGTCCAGCTGTATAAGTTGAAGTAAACAAGTTATACCAGTTGTCACAACCCGCCTGTGTTCCCCTATTTCCAGTCACCCTACTGGAACCGAGTACCGGGACCTCTCTCAGCACGTGTACCCACCACCTCCCCCTGCTCAGCACTACAATATCTTCCTTATAAATTCTTTACCTTCACAAGGAACCCCGTGTCCAGATATATCTCTGGTTTTAACTACTTTGAACATGATAAAGTGTACGATGGTAATGATTTTGATAACGCTATAAACCTCCATATATCTGCTAACAAAGAGTATCTAGTCACCACTGCTAAGTGTCACCATTGCTCCAAAACGGTTAACTCTGTGGCGTATGATTTAGGGTTCGATTTTAAAGGTTATGTCAACGCACAGGACAATAAAGTGTTTTTAGACAACTTTCTGAGGAAATTAGAAATGGAAATAGACCTTGTTTTGATCAGCGAGTATTATGATCTGTCATTAGTTTTACTAGCCCGTCGTTACTGCTGGACATTCGACGACATCACCTATCTCAAGAATTTAGAGAGCTTCCAAAAACCGGTTGTCAGTGAGGCTACAAAAAAGAACATTCTAGAGTTTCAGCATGTTGATGCTGTGATTTATGACTTTTACAACAACACTTTTTGGGATCTTGTTGATAAAGAAGAGGGTATCATGGAAGAGTTTGAGAGTTTTAAAGAACACAACAAGATGATGCACAATAAGTGTGTTGCAGGCAGACAGGTAAGAGTTTGAGAGTTTTAAAGAACACAACAAGATGATGCACAATAAGTGTGTTGCAGGCAGACAGGTAAGAGTTTGAGAGTTTTAAAGAACACAACAAGATGATGCACAATAAGTGTGTTGCAGGCAGACAGGTAAGAGTTTGAGAGTTTTAAAGAACACAACAAGATGATGCACAATAAGCGTGTTGCAGGCAGACAGGTAAGAGTTTGAGAGTTTTAAAGAACACAACAAGATGATGCACAATAAGTGTGTTGCAGGCAGACAGGTAAGAGTTTGAGAGTTTTAAAGAACACAACAAGATGATGCACAATAAGTGTGTTGCAGGCAGACAGGTAAGAGTTTGAGAGCTTTAAAGAACACAACAAGATGATGCACAATAAGTGTGTTGCAGGCAGACAGGTAAGAGTTTGAGAGCTTTAAAGAACACAACAAGATGATGCACAGTAAGTGTGTTGCAGGCAGACAGGTTAGAAACTACATGTTTCGCTAAGTTACTGATTAAATGCTTCAATATAATTAGTTAAGAGCTGTAAGTTAAAACAGTCTCTGTAAGTTCTAACCGGATTAGTAGTAACTAACTTAGTAGGAATAAATCTACCCTTTTATTTCAGATTAGTAGTGATCAAATTTATCAGTTTGTTTTGACGGAGTTTGGACGAACTGATTTCCAATGCCTGGCTATGAGCTCCCGGGTCACCCCATTTGCACATCTTATTGAGAATCGTAATCAGGTTAGGACGGTTTTAATTTTCTAATTACCAGGTTAAATTAACCCCCATGATCTCAGTGATTTAACCGGATTGGGATGGCGGGGATTAAGTAGGTTCGCCCCCCCCCCCCCCCCCCCCCTATTTCGTAAGCCTCCTTACGTAATAGGGGGGGGGGGGATATGAACTGTCCCTAACTATGTGGGCATCACCAATCAAGTGTTATAATAATCGTGGTCACATGTTTCATTTTGTTATCTTAAAGAGATTTTAGTTCCTTAGTTTTATTTTCTTACTGTTATGAATTGTTTACAGGGGCTACAAAACGACGGGCCTCACGAGAGTGGCCATCTTACTCTACAAGATTTGTACAACGTTCGCCACGGATAATGGGCTTCTTTAATTTAAAATATTCCACATTTTTGCGATGTATCACTATTCTTATATTCTTTTTTCAGTATATTTCTGTTATTAATATTGTTGTTGCTATTTTTGTATTTCTGCACACAGCGCGCCTGTGTACACGTGAGTGGACTTTTGATATATATTTCTTCCACTGTTTAATTCAAATGTAATCCTTTGTCTCTCAATTAGTTCATGTGATATCTCAATCTATATACTATATACTATACCTGAAGTTTAAAACGTTTCCTGGGGGAGACGAACAAGGGCGCCGAACAATAAATTGCTAATACTAGCAGCGCATTATCACACGCGATCAAATTAAATTATATTATACTAGTGTAACCAGTGCCTTCGGACGGTACTTCACTATCGCAGTTGAATTGCAAAAGTATAAACCTGGCTTTTATATTCTTATATTCGAAAACACGCATTACATTTTCGTATCTAAAACGGTGCGAAAGTATGAACTCGCTCTGTCTAAACACACCGCAATTTAATTCTGAGTGCCCCTCACGTATCTTATAGCAAATATAATTGATAGGCAATCTTGAGGTCCCCCCCCCCCCCCCCCCCAAATTACCTAGTTATATAACAAATCTGTTATGAGGGGAGAGAGAGCGAGAGAGGGAGAGTACTGAAACACTTTAGTGTAAAGAGGAACTGCGAACCCTGATGCGGGACAGGGATATATGGAGGGGGTTTTCTGGCGTAGATCGGACTTAGCTCTGACATAGTAGTAGTATCACATTTAGGTCACAAAATGATCAACTAAACCACTTACCACCGACCGATTTGAAAAACCTTACTCATTTGGCTTCGTCAGAGTTTTGTCGGCACTATACCGAAAAAACCAGTCCCATATCTCTTACGACTTACCAGTCCCATATTTCTTACCAGTCCCATATCTCTTACCAGTCCCATATCTCTTACCAGTCCCATATCTCTTACCAGTCCCATATCTCTTACCAGTCCCATATCTCTTACCAGTCCCATATCTCTTACCAGTCCCATAACGAACACACACACACACACACACACACACACACACACACACACACACACACACACACACACACACACACACACACACACACACACACACACACACACACACACATCTTGAGATTATGAGTATAAATAATATGAACGAAATCAAACTTCATAATAATGTAGATTGTGGAACCACTCTTGGATGGCAGTTATTGGTTTTGGTTGCCATGACTCGCAGTTTCATGCTGTCGTCATTGACATCGGTCAACTTTATGGTGATTGGTGAAGATGGCGAAACATTTTTATTTATTTTATAATAAACTTGTCGGATAAAATATGGTGCAAGAGGATTCTAGACTTATTGCAAATTTTTATCCCAGCCCTTTTTAAAATATTAATATCGAATCATTTTACGTACCGGATATAAGATTAGCAAGATGAACATTTGCCAATAGAATATAATGCACTTATTTCCTTGCATAATTAAAATGCATAATTAAAATACTACTCACTAGTAGTATCAGTGCTCCTGTACAACTGCTGCTGCTGGGCCGTACCTCAGCATGTTCTAGAGTCTGTAGATGTTGTTCAGAGGAAGCACCTCAAGCGCATCCTACACATCTATTGGCCTAGCTCAATATCTAACAAGGCCCTCTACGCTCGTACCCAGACCAGGCCCCTTTCCGAGAGAGTGGAAAAGGCACGGTGGACAATGCTAGGTCATGTTCTACGCAGTGACAACGACACGCCTGCCTACCAGTCTCTGTTATTTGCTACACTAGGATGTCAAACACTAAAGGGACGAGTGGGTAGACATAGGACTAATTTGTATGATATTATTGTGAAAAAGGACCTATTTAAGAGACAAATTTATTTGAAAAATGAAGATGATTTTACCAACTTAGTGAACTTAGCAAGAGATAGAGTAGGATGGAGGAGTTTATTTACTTTGAGACATATTGAACGAATGAGTCTTCGTAAGCGTAAATAGGCCAGCACTTTGCTGAGCCTCTTTAGGTGCTCTTTTGTTTATAGATGTTATTATATATATATATATATATATATAATTAAAATGTTATCCAATGTTCGACACAGTGGTGCCGAGAAACCCACCAAGATTATCGTAATTTTTAATATAGAATGGTGCAGACCCTTCCTGGATTCAATTTGTACCTTATCTTTATTAGAAAAGAGCGCAAATAGAAGTATATTTCATTACTTTAAAATATTTGTATCACATTAAAGCACGTGGCACGCCCTGCACGAGCTTCACATCAGAGAAAGATCATGCTACCTTGAACTCGCAAATTCTTATCAAATCTTATCAGTCTTTAGCGCCGTAAGTTTCATTTCACTCAACTAGCTGTAATAGAAGTATTCCCGTATCACTTTGTTGTCCACTTTTTCGTCAGAAGTACAATGTTCCGTTTTATCCTGTTCGTTGTTTCTATAGTTATTGCACTTCTTGGCACCACTACCGCGGAAGGTGATAGCAAGAGTTACACAGCTCTACGGTTTGCTTATGACAGTTCGAGTCATATTGCCTTCGACCCAGATATGAGCTCAATGACTGAAAAGTTTTCAGTATGTTTGTGGATTAAGAAGATTGTATCAGGAAATGGCAATTGTCCATTCGCATACGGTGGCCATACTCACTTCGAGATATTTATGACAGACAGCGGCTACTACAACAGACTGTTTAAATCAACCTCACTTGACGGTACTCTGACCAGCAAGTTTACAACGACGGCAGGAAATTGGTATACATATTGCTCGACGTGGAGCTTGGCTTCCAGAACCTTTAGAGTGTATGTGAATGGGCACCTCGCCGGAACCCAAACCACACCATCCGGGAGGAGGCTGACCACAGGATATAAGCTAGTTTTGGGGGCTTATCATACAGATGGAGCTCAGCAATTTGGGGGCGAAATTTTCAACTTGAATGTGTTTTCTAAAGAACTGACTGCTACGGAGATAGCTATCATGGCTGCAAAAGGTCTCTGTACAGATACACCTGAAGAACTGGAGGATTATAGAATAATTAAGTGGGAACAAATTATGAAACTTACCAGATCTGGCACAGTGACTGACGTTATTGACCCGAGATGTGTAGCTGCTCATGAACTACAGGGCACGAAAAGAAAACTGGAGACTGCTGTCGGAGAAAAGAATAGCGTCGAACTCTCCCAGAACCTGACGCGGGCAGAGCTGCTGAAAGTTCAAGGACTCTTCAACTCAACACAGGAGGATCTAGAGGAGGTCAAGAGAGAGCTGAATGAAACGAAGAGTGCGCTTGTGGATACCCAGTCGGAGCTTGAAGATGCCCAGTCGGAGCTTGAAGACACCCAGTCGGAGTTAAAGAATGTCACTGAGTACAAATGTCCGATCAGCAAGGGAAATGTGACTAAGTGGGATATCTTCTATTCTCCTACCTACTATAATAAACCCTTCACCCGTCGGCTTTACCAACAACTCCGCACAACTTGGGACTCAGTCAGCAGTAAGATTTAAGTGCCTGTTATCAGACTATTCCTAATTTAATTAAGAAATTTTAACGCTTACATTAGTACATTTTTATTGATTAAATTTTCGCTTTACTCCAAGATAGGGTTAACATGTGACAAATATTAAACATTTCCTATTGAGAATTTAACTTTTACTTACTGCTAGGGCCACAAATCATTGATGGATATTTTTGACTAGGTGTATATATAAACTTGTTCTTACAACCAATTAAACGAATTTTCATTCCCGTTCAGAGCAACTGTTTGGAGTCACGATGACAGACACGATTATCAAACTGGCAAAAAACCTGGACTGTGAAGATAAGGTATTATTGTGGAGAGAATGTATTATCGATCACTGTCATTTTATCATCACTAACCTATTCCAATCTCTACTTAATAAAAACAATTTGTACATTCACTTTTAACAGATTCTCTCCTTGTCAGGAATTTTCGTAGTTCTTGACATGTCATGTGAAGATAACTGTGAAGCTTTGATTGGACGATGGAGTTTACTGAAGCAGTGCGACCTTTTCTACTAAAAATGTTCTACTTCTACAAAAACAATAATTAGAATTATAATTTACATATTGTATGCCCACTTTAAGGGTATATAAGTTAATCTGATAATTTTTTATTATTTTGGGGAAGTTAAGTCTGATTTCGCCTAATGCAATGCTCAACTGTTTCTTCGAAGGAGAGAAATATACTACTTCTAAGTTTAATTGACGAGCTCATTTTTGTTTTTGTTCGCATTTTTTTTAACGAATGCGTCGTTTTTCAGTTATATTAATAATTCTTCTAAAATGTGACCCAAAAATATTATCTAGGATGATAAAGCTAATATTGTAATTCTTAACTGATTTGAATTTTCTCA